TAAAGAAATAAGGGTGAGGAACAGGATATGGGAAGGGGGGTTATGGAAGGGTATGCAGATTAACGGAAATGGGTTAAAGAGGGAAGTCTTCTAAATTCAGAAACAAGAGGACAAGAGGATGGGGGGGAGAGGATAAGGGAGGGATTTTTGGAGAGGGGGTAAGTTAAGGAATAAGAGGGCACGGTAGCAAGCAAACGTAAAGCAGAGGAGTGAGGAAGGATAGGGTAGATAGGGTAAGAAAGATAATGAGGAAAAACAGGAAGGAGGAAAATAAACAATTATAACTTAGAATGTGAATGTAATGAATTTACCCATAAAATGCAAACTGATAGATTAAAAATTTGAATTCAACAATATGTAGTTTTCAGGAAATGCTATAAAAATGAGAGATACACACAAAAATAAAATAAAGATGAGGAGTAAAATGTATTATGTAAAAAAAAAAAAAAAAACAGGGAGGGGCAGCTAGGTAGAGCAGTGGACAGAGCACTGGCCCTGAAGTCAGGAGGACCTGAGTTCAAGTCCAGTCTCAGACCAAACACTTGATGTTACTAGTTATGTGACCCTGCGCAAGTACTTAACCCCAATTGGAAAAAAAAACAAAACCAGGGGTAGTAATCATGATCTCAAAGGTAAAGCTAAAAAAATTTAATCAAAAGAGAAAAATAGGGAAACTACACTATGTATCAATATTTTAGACCATTTAAAATAACTAGACAGTATAAAAAACCTGAGGGTATACCTGCCAAAACAGACAAAGGAACTATACAAATATAAACAGAGTACTTTTTATACAAATAAAGTTAGATCTAAATAACTGAAGTAATATTTATTGTTCATGGAGTAGGTAAAGCCAATATAATAAAAAAAGAATTTAATTAACTCATCTACTTGTATAATGCCATCCCAATTAAATTACTAAAAAATTATCTGAGTTAGAAAAAATAATAACAAAGTTCATTTGGAAGAACAAACGTTCAGGAATTTCAAAAAAACCAGGGGTAAAAGATGTAAAGAAAGCAGATTCAGTAGTATCAGACTTCAAACCATATTATAAGGTGAGAGTATTGTTGAAGTATAAAATGGGTAATTCTGATTTTAAATTAAACTTTTCTTGTATAAATAAAACCTATGCAGCAAAGAATATAAGGAATGCAGAAAAGTGAGTAAAAAAACTTTCACAGACAATCTCTCAGATAGAATGTGCTTAAGTTGAAAGATTGCTGTGGTGTAGGAAGTGATGAGCTGGTCGATTCAGAAAAACACTGAAAAACTTGGACACATGAAGGAAAACGCTATCCACCTTCAGAGAAACAGATGACAAGTTAAAAAAATAAAAAGAATAGCACAGTCTTACATATATGTATAACTGTATGTTTGTAGATATCTATGTGTGTATATATGTGTGCAGTGTGTGTATATATGGATATAGATATATAGATATGCATATCTATGTCGATCTCTTTCACATATATAGAGATATCTTCAATTAATTGGGTGACGGAGATAAAGTAAAAAGTGCACAGCAAAGATCAAAAGAAAACCTACAAGGAAGCAAGGAAAAACTGGGCAGCTTTGAAAATAATGCATAATATTTATTACGTAGGTTTTCTTGAAATGGAAATGTATTGCTTTGTATTGAATCCTCTCTTATGGTCTGCTGTGTACACGGCAATTTTTTTCCTTTTATCAGTTTAAAATAAATTTTAAAACTTTTTAAAAAAGAAAGAAAACTGTTTCTCCTCAATGGATATAACAAACATGACTATTGGTAGAACTAAAGACTGTTCTAACCATCTTGAAAAGCAATTTGGAATTATACTAATAAAAGTGACAAACATACCAAAAAAGTGGACCCAGTGTTCACTGACACGCATATACTCCTAGGAGGTTTAAGATAGAAAGGTCCCATAGACACAAAAATATTTATTGTACCACTTTTTGTAGTAGCAAATAACTGGAGAAAAAGTTGATGTTCTCTGACTTCAGAGAATGGCTAAATAACTGTGCATGTATACATGTTTACACACACAGATACAGATGTAAATAAACACAGATGTAGATATGGCTTCCAAGACACAAACTCTGACACACACCGGCTATGAAACCCTGGGCCTGTCACTTAGCCTCTTGATGCCCAAGGATTCTGTAAGCCAAGTTGCAAAGAAAGTGCCAACATGTATTGGGAGAGTTTCCTCTTTGTATCTAAAGAGCCTAATTAAGCTACTTTTAGTCTTCAATCTTCCTATGCCAATTAAGTCATAGGTCTACTGATGGGAAATAAAGCAGCAGATCAAAATAAACAATGTACACAATGACAACAATATAAATGCAAAGAATAACAGCAATAAAAAATCAAAACTAATAAGGATTAAGCCTGCCACCAAAGAAAGATATGTAAATTCACCTCCCTTTCTTCTTAGAAGTGAAGAAGGCTATGCATGTGGAATACCACCTGTACTGTTGCACTTGTTTATTCTTTGTATAAAAGGATAACTCTCAGAGAAGGGTAAGGGATTTACTAAGAGTGAAGATTAAAAAAGACAACCAAAAATAATGTTTAAAGAAAAAAGAGAAAGAATAAGCATTTTTACTAAAAGAGCCTCTTAAGGGAGCTTAACAAAGTATTTGTCCCATAGAAAAGCTAAAGGGTAAAAAAACTAAAAAAAATTTTAAAAATAAAAAAGCTAATGACTTAAGTTTAAGATGCAACTAGCAGTATCCTAATTTAGCCAGCTATTTATCACTTGTATGGGAGTGGGGAAGGTTATTGCCAAGTTAATATACACTTGTCTACCCGTGTTCATCTTTCCCCTATTCTACTTCACCTCTCCTTCAAAGTGTGGATTTACTAAAGGTAAACTAAGGTAATTACACTAAGCAGGCTTGTATAGGAGGAATAAGGGGAGGAACATTTTTGTTTCCAATTCACAGTGAGCTGAGGTTACTAAACCTAACAAACATTAAAAGTTGCTTTAAATGACGTAACCTAAAAAACTTGAAAGGAAAAACTGTTGAGTTTTAAAACAAATAGTAATTACAAATACCACCTTTCAATCAGGATTGCCAACACACAGATACCTTCACAGAGGTTTCTCACAGTATTGTCTCAGTTTAGTGATACTACTTCATTTAAATCACTTAAAGATAAAGGAAGACATTCTCTGCAACTGAGTTAGTTATTTTTTCAGGAAATGGAATAAAATTAAGACTTAACAGGAAAACAAAAATTAAACGCTTATATGATTTCATTTTAAAATAAGTCAAAAAGGGGTAAAAATATTTGATAATACTAGACTGAATTAAGTAATTAATCTTTACTGTCTATAATGTGGAGAATTACCTAAATTTTACTACTGAAAAAATTAACAGTATATAACAATCCCTTCCCTCCCTCAAAAAAAAAAAATCCACAGGGAAACTAGAATTAGAACTCTCAAGTTTTCTTTCTTGCTTCGAAGGTTCATATTATCTTTTAATTAGATATTTTATCTTATCAGTTCATCAAGTTTCTTGATATTTGTCTTGTTGAAAGAATACTGTTCAGTCCTTTTTTTAGTCATGTCCCCATTTGGGGTGTTTTTGGCAAAGATACTGGAGTGGTCAGTCATTTCCTTCTCCAGCTCATTTTATAGATAAGGAACCTGAGACAAACAGAGTTAAGGGACTTGCCCAGAGTCACCCTGTTAGTAAGTGTCTGAGGCTAGATATGAACTCAGGAAAATGAGTCTTCGGGACTCCAGGCCAGGCACTTAGCCACCTAGCTGCCTCAATAAATTTGAAGTGCTTGGAAAACCTACATAACTATATTCACTACAGAAATGTCAAAAATTATATAAAACATTTTCAAACAGTTTTGTAAATTAGGTTCATTATTGCACAGGTATCAATTTTACCTTCACAGTAAAAGTTTGCAAAGCAGCTTGAAGGTTTTTCTCCTTACCAAAAGTATTACTAAATGATTCCTTGTGGTCCACAAACTTCAAGTGTCATAGAACCACAGAAAAGAATTAGGAGGACAATGTTTTCATCATTTACCTAACCTCATTAACTTGCCATATTTTCCACTTCCAAAGAAAACTACTGTTGCAAGAGGTGGGGAGTGGGCAATTTTCCCAATTCACTTGCCATTAATTTCTAAAAATACTCTGTATCCTGATACTCGCACACCAAAGGAATAAGCCTTCAAAAGAAAATCGATTATTTCAGTTTATGTGTAGCAACTTTACCGTATTTGAATAAAGGGTCCATTTCAAAACTTGCAATTTTATAACACCACAGAATGGAGCGCCTCATAGCTACAAAGTGAAGTACAGCAACAACTTCCCACTCCACAAGTACTAAACAAAACCGAAACACAATTCAAAGCTGACAAGACAAAAATCAACCCCAGCAGATTAAGAAGGATCCCCAGTACTTTCGGTAGCTTCATTTTGCTTTTTAAAGCAAAAAAATAAAACAAAACACCATCAATTAGTTCCAATGACCCCTTTCCTTTACATATCCTTTAGAAATGGGTTTCGGACACTAATATGGACCATGTGTTTAGTTACTTAAACCCATAATGATTTTGGCACAGGTGCAAGTAGAGACAGGACTTCATGTTCGACCCCTAAGCCACCTGCCACCCGAGTCGACAAAGTGCAACCACATGGAATGTGGGATATTGGACTCCGTTCAATCTTTATCTTTAAGTCACTCATCTTGATAAGGGTAAAGCACACAAGCAGGAAGTTCTCAGACCGAGTAAAGACGGCCATCCCCGGGTACAGAGGAGAGCAGACCAGGACAGCTGCACGCTTCCCGACAGTCGGGTGCAACTCGGAACCTCTCCCGCACCCCCGGAGGCGGATCTCGGACCTCGGTCTCCATCAGCCGGAAGGCAAAAGGGGAAGCTCCCAACAGCTGGGTCTAGTCCCGCTGTGCCGGCCGCGAACCCCAACACACACACACCCCTCCCTTCCCGGTGCGCCCTCTCCCTCCCACCTCTCCTTGCTCACCTGCTGGAAGGCGCCCTCCCGCCGTGGGTTCTTGGGGTGGTCGAAGTGGCCTCGGTCCAGCATCAGGTACAGGGAGAAGATGACCACGCAAAAGATCGCGCTGCCGAACACGGTGAACTGGCGGCTCAACTTCATTTTCCACGGGAAGAGCCGCCGAGCCCGCAGACCGACAAACGCCGCTCGAGTCTCCCCAGGCACAGCACAGGGAGATTACGGGGTGCAGGCAAGGAGGCGGGGAGCCGGAGGCAGCCCAGCTGGCCGCCCGCACGTCCAGCTGCTGCCTCCACCACGTCGCCAGCTCCCGCCGCCAGGGATCAGGGATCAAGGTCCCCCCGCCTTTGGCGCAGAGCCTGCTCACGCCCCTCTCCCCTTCTCCGGCCACTTCCCTCCTCCCCTCGGAGGCCGGGCCGGGAAGTGGAGACCGCTGGACTTGGGCGTCCAGGCGCCCGAACGGAGCTGGGCGAGGGCGAGGACTGCAGCCGTGCACGGCCGACGTCCTGCTCCGGGGACCCGTCCCGATCGGAAGGAAAAGTTTTCGTGGCCCGGGCCCAGTTGGGCGGAGGGTGAGCGCTTCCCCACGGCCCCCAGGGGCGGAGCCACGCCGGGAAGAGGCCGGGAAGCCGGGGGATCCGACCCGCCACTGAGCCCGGGGACTCGCAGCCCGCAGGAGCTCGCCGCGCCCGCCGCCCTTCCTGCCCCGGCCGGGGCTTCGGCGAGGGGTGGAGCCTTCGGCCAAGCCCCAAACGGCGTCCGGAGCCGAGCCGAGCGGGACCCCCGGCCGCCGGCTGGCCCCCGCCCCCGCCCCGCCGCCCCGCCTCCTGCCTTTCCCAGGGGGTTGGGGACGTGGAGGGGGGCGGGCGGCCCCGCCGGGACGGAGAGCGGGAGGGGGGAGGAGGAGGTGGAAGGCGGCAGGGGAGGAGGGGGGGGTGGCGGTGGTCCTGGCGTGACTCTTCCGCAGAGAAGCCCGCCGCCCCTGCCGAAACAAGCCGCCCCCACCAGCACCGGGAGGAGCTCCGTGTTCTACGGCGCGAACGGCCCGCGGCAGACACGGGGAGGGGCGGCGGCGGCGGCGGCTCCCGCAGAGCCAGCGGCCAGAGAGCCGAGCAGCGCGCCCCGCCCCCTTCCCCTACGCACGGGGAAGAAATGGGAAAGGACCCCGCCCCGCGGGGACCAATCAGAGCCCGCCGCGGGCCGGGCTCTGCCCCCTTCCCCCCGCCTCCCTCTCCCAACCCCCACCCCGGCTTCCTCCCCCCGCCTCTGCTCCCCTAGCGAAGCACAGACTTTCGGGGAGACTTCTGATGGCCTTTGTGAAGGAAGAAGGAAATGTAGCGGAAGGCTCAGAAGATGCTTTTCTGCAGCTGCCGCCGCCGCCGCCGCTTGACTTCCCTCCCCGGGCTTCTGACCTTGGTTTTCCGGGCCTGCCTGCTCATTGGAAGGGAACTTGCTGATGAGGGTGGGTGGTTAGAGGAGCCAGGGAGGTTCGTGCTGTGGAGATTCATTGATCTTTTCTCCTCCAGGGTATGCATGCCTTGCCATCCCGAAGCACTTCGTTGACTTTTGCGGCTAAGGGGGAAAGGGGCTTTGAGCAAACCGAAACGAGTTTCCCCACCGCCGCCTCCACCTGCACGCTCACACCTGCTACACGTTTTCAGAAAACATGCTCCACAGCTCGAACAGATCCTAGCTGCACGTGCGGCTTCTTACAGATGCACGAAGGATGGCTGCTAGAAACATCCTTCTATGAATTAGAAAAGTAACGTTGTGCCCCAGTTTTTTGTCTGTACGGGACAGCATTTCTTATTGTTGGCCCTCTAGCAGGATCAGGATTAAACATCATAGTGTTACAAAATTAACTCAGATAGTAAGGACCAGATCCCACGGGGATGTCCTTCATGCTAAAAACAAAAATGCTTAGGTTAACAGGCACATACCTTTTCGATTATCTACAGTGCTGTCCAAATTTCTTTCCTCATACAAAAGTGGCATTAAAATATAGTTTAAATATTTATTTTAAAAAATAGAATAATCTACCTGAAGCAATACCTAGAGCTGTTCACATTTTTTTAACCAACCCTGTGATTTCTTTCTAGTGAAGAATCGCTCTCATGCACATCTGCAGTTGCTGAGCAAAACATAGTCTAGAGGTTAAGTGACTTGCCCCTACTAAGAGGCAGAACTTGAGGCTGACCTATCCACTGTGCTTTTCTGGATTTAGTCATTCGAAGGTCATTAATCACCATCAAAAATGTAAGGAAATAGGTACCAAGTACAGTGGGCTTAGATGGCCAATTTGATAGAACATAATTTAGTTAAGGCAATGCTATCAAGCAAAGAGGGTTTTTCAAGATGGTGAAGACTTCAGAATGTTTGAAGGTACTAGGGAAGCAGCTAATGAAGAGGGAGAAATTGATGATTCTGGTAACAAGAAATAAAATGAAAGAGCAAATTCTATTAGAAGCTAATCTTGACAGAAAAGAGGAACATGACATGGGAGAACAATGTGTGACGAAGCTCCCCCCAAATTTTTTGAATCTCAGTGAAGTAGGAGGTGGGATCATCTGCCAAGAATGCTAACAGCGGGTGGTGGATTTGAAGGCATGAAAACAGACAATTTATAATTATGGGGGGGGGGGAATTTACAGTACTAGTTATGTGGGGCTCAGTGGATAGCATGCTGGGTCTAGGGTCAGGAAGACTCATCTTCCTGAGTCCAAATTTGGCCTTAGACACCATCTGTGTGACCCCAGGCAAGTCACTTAACCCTCTTTGTTCCAGTTTCCTCAACTGTAAAATGAGTTGGAGAAAGAAATGGCAAACCACTCCAGTATCTTTGCCAAGAAAACTCTAAAAGAGGTCTCGAAGAGTCAGATGCAACTGAACCAAAACAAATGCAGTACTAGGCAATCAACCAGGAGAATAAAAGGACTGCCAGATAGCATTGTATAGCAGATCATAGAACTCTGGTATATCCTGTCATGTGCTTTCATAGGTCTTGTGACAAACTGTATATCTGTCATCTAGCAGCACTTCTTAAACTGTTGGTCGAGATGGGGTCATGAAAAATTTGGCAACACTAAAAGGTTTGTGAATGTGCAATGACCAAAAATTAATTCAAAATCAAACGGGTAATGAATCCAAGGTGTCTCTGGCAGCACTTGCCTGTGTTGCAATCGGGCAACTTCACTACAGCCTTGGTTCTGAACACAAAGCTTGTGGACTTTGCACTGCACATGCCCTTACACCACATGAGGTTAATGAACCACTTCCAAACTAGAAAAAGGGGTCACAAGTGGAAAAGGTTTAAGAAGCCCTGATCTAAAGACCAAGCTAGTCAGAGTCCACCAGAAGGTGGACCACCAAGTGATGATTTTTTTTTTTTAAATCACAACTCATGAAGAGAAAATCTGGTAGATTTGGAGTAAGGAAAAACCAAGATTTGGATCATGATTACACTACATACTAGCAGTGCAAACATGACCAAATTATTTAATTTGTCCAAATTTCAGTTTCCTCATCTCTAAAATAAGGCTAATGATACTTGTAATACCTACCAATATGAGAATCAAATAAGATTTTATATATAAAACATATATATATAGTATTCATATAGTACATAATGATGTGTGTATATACATATACATATGTGTATATACATGCACACATATATGTATACATATACTTTTTTATTCTATACTTCAGAATCTAACCTCTATTATATTTCTTCCTGGAACTTCCCTCTGCACCTAGAGCCTCCTTGCCCTGGAACATCCTACCCCTTCTGTGACTTGCTAACCTTGGAATATTCCTCCCAAAGGCTCATCCCTCCTCCCATTAGTGAATTCCTCCTGGAGCCTACATTTTGTAAAGGGGCCCAGTCTGACCCATCTTTGTCTCCCTGAACCCAATACACACTTTATGGCTTTCAAAATCATGCAACAAACACCATTCTCATACCACCTTTTCATCTCTCTTTTGTGTGTCTCCTTTACTGCTTCTTGGAGGCAGGAACTTTCTTTCTTTTTGCTTGTATTTCTATCACCAACTCCTGGCACAAATCAAATGCTTAAAAAGTACTTGTTACCTTCCTTCTTCTTTCCTTTTTGAAGGGAGGCTTTAAACAAGAGACTCTGACACAAACTTCATAGCTAACTAACGTTGACACTCACTGGGTGCCAGTCTTAATGATTCAAATACCATAGCTTGGGGAAAACTGCCTTTGAGCCCAATTTACTTGACTGCCTTTTGTTTGACACTTAAACACTACCTCACTGGAATTCTTGAAGTTAACGAAGCATAAGGAAAACAAGATGTTTAGTGAATGTTTATGGTTTAATGTAAACTGGGAAAGCAGAAATTTCCCTTTTGCTTATAATGTGAAATTGCTGTTGAACCCTGCTGTAACTTAGGATTTTATGTATACTTCAGGAGCCCTGTCTTCTCAATCGCTTAATTTCCAAATTAATTTTACAGAATCAGCCTGTACTAGCTATGTAAATCTGAAAAATTTAAAGAGAACTGAAGAAAAGTCAGAATAAAAGATTAAATTAAAAATTAAAGCAACGTGTGGAGATGCAAATATTATGTACTTACATTTATGTCTATATATTTAATATTTATGCAATTACAAAGAATTTTGATCAGAAGAATAATCTATCAGTCATGAGAAACCATAACTCTTACATTAGATTCCCTTTGCCCTTTTGTAAGGTTTCTTGGTCTTGACAAATGCTATATGATAAAGACATTTCCTTTTGTCTATAAATGATACTTCTTCCTTAAAAAATGATGTAATTTCTTTTTTTGTTTATTTTCTTTCTTTTTTTTTTCTAGTACATTCTGGTCATCCTTGAAAGTATTTGACTTTCACAGTTTGGTTTTGTTATTTTCTGGTGCTGCTGCCCTGATGGGTTTTCTATCAGTTGAAATTTACAGGAACATTTGCCTACTTTATAGGAACAGTGAGCCACAAGGCTCTCCTAAGAAGTTTCCTCAGGTATCTGCAATATTTCTCTCAATCTTTTTTTGTTCTTACTTGGGCCCATATAACTCAGATAAAAGCCACACACACCCTTCTCCAATTCTTTTTTTCGCTTGTTGGGCTGAATCCTGATATTAGATACCCTTGTCTGGCAATAAGGGATTTACATCACTTATTTAGTCGTTAGTTAGCTATATCTGTAATGATTTAACTATAGCAGTTGTTGGATAAAACTAATATTT